GGATCCTTATTAAGAGTAAGAGGAGGAGCCATAGGAGTTTTCATAGATGAACTGTTGGATAGATCAAACTTCTTCAGCATATCTCGAACATACTTACTTTGGTTGATAAAATTCCTTTATCAGTTTGTTTGATTTGAAGACCTAAAAAGAATGTTAGTTCTCCCATCATGCTCATCTGATTTTCTTTCTTCATGCGTTCAGCGAAACGAAAACATAAAGAGGTATTAGTGGAACCAAAAATAATATCATCGACATAAATTTGGACGAGAATGATGTGACCTTTAACTTTCCTAAGAAATAAGGTCTAGTCAATCTTTCCACGAGAGAATTTCTCAGAAATGAGAAAAGAAGATAGGGTGTCATACCAGGCACGAGGAGCCTGTTTTAACCCATAAAGAGCTTTATCCACCCTATAGACGTGGTTAGGATACTTAGGGTCGAGAAACCCTGGAGGTTGTTCAACATAAACTTCCTCTTGATGTTTTTCATTTAGGAAAACACTCTTTACATCCATTTGAAAGACCTTGAAGTCTCTGTGGGCAACAAAGGCTAGAAAGAGTCGAATTGCTTCGAGTCTAGCCACTGGTGCGAAGGTTTCGTCGTAATTGATTCCTTCTTCTTGTCTATAACCCTGAGCAACAAGTCGAGCCTTATTGCGGGTTACCACACCATCTTCATCCAACTTGTTGCGATAGACCCATTTGGTGCCTATCACTGATTTGTCTGATGGATGTGGGACAAGGTACCAGACTTTGTTCCTATCAAACTCAATAAGCTCTTCTTGCATAGCAAGAACCCAACTAGGGTCGGATATAGCCTCATTGATTTTCTTGGGTTCAACTAARGAAAGAAAGTTGACAAAGAGACAGATATTACCTAGACCTCGACGTGTCTTGATACCTGCATCTATATCACCAAGAATTTGATGAATTGGATGACTTTTAGTCCATTGCTGAGCCGGTAAAGGAGCTTCATCTGAATAGGAGAGTTCAGGTATGGAATATGAGACTTCAGCAGCAGTTTCTTCAGCAATAGGGACTATTGCCAAAGGAGTCTCAGATTCAGCAACTGAAAGAGTTTCAGAAACTGAAGGTATTTCATTTACTGATGGATCAGTGTTTGAAGTAGAAGGAGGTACACAACTAATGGGCACTGCTGCGATCTCTGAAGAAGATACATTGGAGTGACAAGCTGCAACTGGAATGATGAATGGATCATCTTCAGCTTCTGGAGATTCAGTGTTTAGAGGAGCACTGTAGGAAGCTTCAGGTTGTCCATAATGAGGTATCATCCAGTTCTCTAATTCATCTTCATCAATAGAGATGGGTTTTGAATTAGCTGATTGAGATTCGTCAAAAGTGACATGAATAGATTCCTCTATTGTTTGTCTTCGTTTGTTGAATACTCTGAAGGCTTTGGATATGGAAGAATATCCAAGAAAGATTCCTTCATCAGCTTTGGGATCGAACTTTCCAAGTTGGTCGCGGTTGTTGAGAATGTAACTGGTACAACCAAATATGTGAAGAAAGCTTATTGAGGGCTTTCGTCCATGGAAGAGTTCATAGGCCGTCTTTTTGAATCTTTTTACGATCAACGATCGGTTTTGAGTGAAACAAGAAGTGTTGACAGCTTCAGCCCAGAATTGAGTTGGAAGACGAGATTCGYTGAGCATTGATCGAGCAGCCTCTATGATTGTTCGATTTCTTCTTTCAGCGACCCCATTCTGCTGAGGAGTTCTCACAGAAGAAAAGTTGTGAGAGATTCCCTTGTCCTCAAGAAAGTTATCCATAGTACTGTTTTTGAATTCAGTACCATGATCACTTTGGATAGAGCGTACTTTAACATTGTTTAGTACTTCTATCTTTTTGATGAACGAAATGATTTCTTCAGGTGCTTCGTCCTTGGATCTTAGAAATAATACCCAAGTATACCTGGCATACTCATCAACAATGACAAGCGTGAACTTCTTTCCAGCTAGGGATTGCACGTTGACTGGACCAAAGAGATCCATGTAAAAAAACTAAGAAATGACACTAACATGATTCGAATTCAGGTCTGGGGTGGAAGAAAAGCCTCGCAAACCAACTCTACCGAGAAAAACTTGTGTTCTCATTTTAGTTTCAAAATATATACGATGACACGTAACAAATTAAATACGGTAACACTTTTCACGACTGTAGAATTTTTTACACTAGGATGGATGAACAATACGGTGGCACGAGCCACCATATGTTCTATACTGGGTTCGTCCATGACCTTCACCAACTAATCAAGCAAACAGTCACTACAAGAAAATTAGATTTATAGGACACCCTCAATCTCTAAGTGTCCTTATAGACCGCTTTATAGGACTTGATTTATAGGACCGAAATATAAAACGTCCTACCTAAAGGTGTTGTAATAAGTTTATATGACGCTTTTGAGCGTCTTAACAAGTTTTTAGGATATTTTTAATACAAAGTGTCACATTAACAACTTTATAGGACATTTATGAGAAAGTGTCCTATAAACTCAATTTTTTATAGAACATTTGTTTTATAGGACATTTTTTCAAATAGTGTTCTATAAAGTTGCTAATGTGATGTTTTATATTAAAAGTGTCCTAAAAAACTTATTACGACGTCAAAAAACGTCATATAAACTTATTACAACACCTTTAGATAGGACGTTTTATTTTTTGGTCCTATAAACTAGTCTTATAAAGAGGTCTATTAGGACGCTTAAAAATTAAGAATGTCCTATAAACCCGATTTTGTTGTAGTGAGTTGACGATGAAAAGTTAAAAGTCTATCACTTGATTGTCCAATTGAAACAATAAGTTTTACCTAATTCACATCAATACAAATAAGACAATTAGATTGTGAACCTGCAAACAGTGGGTAGAAAAAGAGAAGTGGTAAACCACATGAACTTAAAAAAAAACATGCAGACCTATAAAACAACATTTAACATGATATTACTTTCATTAAATTAGTTACGACTTGTACTAAATGCATTATGTGCCTATTAAACATAATAAATTAAATACGGTAACATTTTTCACGACTCTAAAATTTTTTACACTACAACGGATGAACAATACGTGGCACGAGCCACCATATGTTCTATATTGGGTTCGTCCATAACCTGCACCAACTAATCAAGCAAACAGTTAACGATGACTATGATAGGTTAAAAGTCTACCAGTTGACTGTCCAGTTTGAACAATAAATTTTATCTAATTCACATCAATACAAATAAGACAATTAGATTGTGAAACTCCAAAAAGTTAGTAGAGAAAGAGAAGGGGTAAACCCCATGTACTAAAAAAACATGTAGACCTATAAAACAACATTTAACATGATATTATTTTAAGGGTCTGTTTACTTAAATACTTACCCGGTAAGTACTTATTGGTAAAATTCCACATTATCGTTTACTTACCAAGTAAGATTTTATTCACTAAAACGCACCGTATGCAACAATTTAATCCTAGTAAGCACTAACCATGGTAAAAGTGGTCGACCTCATTTACGGGGTGAGACTCTTGATTATTGTCTTCGCTCTTATCGGGTAAGATTCTTAGTTCTTGTCATATTCATCCGGTAAAGTAAAGTGACTTGGTAAACGCTTACCCGAGCAAGCGTTTAATAAACGATACCTAAATAAGTTATGACTTGTACCAAATGCATAATTCCAACAACAAAAAATAAAGAAATCTTGAAATGACAATCTTCTCCTATTAAGTGGTGGACAAGTCGAGGCTTCATCATTCCATGCTCAACTCAAATGTATAAGTATTAACGAAGACCCTCAAGAAACGTGTTTGAACAAATTCGAAGAAATCAATCAAAACCATTCAATTCTTTCATTTTTCAAGGCTTAATAGGTACATATTGTAAGTGAACTGTGAGAATTTAATCGGTTGTTAAACCGTGCAAACTTAGATCAACGGTTGATTTAAAGTTTATATCACGTTCAAGAAATAGACTCTTTTGTACAAAGTTCGTTGATAATAAAAATAATTATATTTAAACTTCAAATTTTTGTAGGGAACCTACTTTCGGAACCAATATATATGATAAACATTAAACCTTATTAATACAACAAAATATTCCATAAATTTAAGAAATTTTTTTTTTCAAAATATACACCCATATGCATTGCAAAAAAAAAAAAAAAAAAAAAACTTTTTTTTATACATAATTTATTCTTAATTAATGGGTTCATTTACGGTAATTCATTTATTTTTTCCATCTATTTTTATTTACCATAATGATTGAGACTTTATTAAATTAATGCATGTAAAAATGATTTAAGTAAAAGTTTGTGAAAATAACTTAAAAGTGAAGATAAATTGAAAAGGTAGATAAATAATGTAGTTGAAAGTACTGAAAATAGTAGAATAAAAATAAGTTTGATTAAAATGTCAACTAATCGAAAAGTTCAAAAAATTAATACAATTCTTAACGTAAATGTTGTTCTCACATGATCCCCTCCTCTTTATGTTCTTGTAAAAAAATCTTGATTCGAAACGCTTTTTTCACTTTATTTTCTTGACTTTATAACTGTTATTGGTGTTGAAGAATGAGACAAAATAAAGAGTTGTTAGGGGTGTTTGGAATTGTTTATTTGAAATAACTTATGTTTTTTTTTACAAAAACACTTATCAACTTATCATAAGTTAGAAGGGTTTTAACTTCTTAAAAAATCCTTATTACCGGTTTAACACCGATATAAATTATTTATTTAAACACTCAAAAATATTTATCATCAAAATAAGTCAAAAAATTATTTTTATAAACAATCATAAATACCCACACTTTTAGAAAAGAGGTCGAAGATGCTGGAATTAATAACCCCTAAAATTTATTGGATCCACTTAACAAAGTAAATTACTTGACCCGATAAACCAGGCGGTCAAATGGTAATGACAATGTGTTTTCTTTGAAAAAAGGAAGAAGAAATCTTAGGCAAGATAATACAAATAATACATGATCCATTATATCATTCACTGGTTTACAAGGGGCAAAGGAAGCTTCAGTGTCAGCAACCTCCTCCATCCTTTCCCTCCCTATAAATACTCATCAAAATCCTCTTAAACAATCCAAACCCGCTTCAATTTCAACATCCTTTCTTCTACATTTATAAACCGAATCAGATCAAGAAGCTCCGATTCCTCTGCCATGGCGGATGTTGACAGGCGAAAAAGAACCAAATATGAAGATATCAAGGTGAAGGGAACACTGGTTTTGACCGATAACCACTACATCTCTTCCAGCAAAGACGATTTATTGGGTCGCAAAGTCTCTCTGCAACTCATCAGTGCTGTTCGTTGTGAATCTACTGGTATGTATGCATCTTTCATCAGTTATGTGTTTTATTGGAAGCTTTGATGAGTTGTACATATCGATTATCAGCTACCCTCCTCACTGGGTCTGGGTGGTAGTTCATGAGGATGGGGTATTGGGAATTTATTGATTAAATTCTTTAGTGGTTTGTACTGTACAACCCTTTAAAGCTGTCAAAATCACTGTTGACTAACATACCAGATTCACCATTCCCTATGGTTTTCTTTGAAGAAGATGACTATGGTGATCGGTGTTTCAATAGCTTGTACCGTACAACCCTCTAATTTCTCCAGATCGCATGAATGCATTAATGGGTTGTACTGTACATCCAATCACAACTTCTTTAGTTTCTGAATCTATACGAGGTTTAAAAAAGAAAAACAAAACTTGATTCGTATGTAAATTATTGGTAAAAGGAAAACATGGGTTCATACATGCATATTCACACGTGAATAATTGGTAAAATGGTAAGATAGTTTTAAAGTATACATCTTCAAATGGATTTAATAGTTTAACATATTCATCTTCAAAAGGATTTTTTTTTTCCTTTTTGAGTTTACGAGTAGTGACTCACATATGAATAAGTTATTCCCATATGAATCATTCTCAACCTTTTTACCTTTCTAATTTGAACCTTCACCTCTAAATCTAACTTAACTTATCGATTGATGAATTTGCGAATTTAAGCCAGGGGATTGAGGGGAAAGCTTGGAAAAGAGGCTAACTTGAAGAAATGGATGAGCACAGTGATCAGTCCTTCAACAAATGGCGATTCCACCTTCGAACTGGATTTCGATTGGGAGGATGAAATTGGGGTTCCAGGGGCATTCTTGATCATAAACAGGCACCACAAAGAATTCTACCTTAAAACACTGACATTAGAACAAGTCCCCAATTGTGGCAGGGTTCATTTCGTCTGCAATTCTTGGGTGTACCCAGAAGAGCATTACAGCAAAAGATATAGGGTTTTTTTCTCTAATCAGGTAAAGATTTGACTATTAGCATCAAGATTAGACCTTGATACCCTTTTTGCTATCAACTTACTAGAAGGGCCAAATCGCATACGGGTCATTGTACGGGCGATTTTCATGCGACCTTGGTCATGTTGACCAAGTTGCCCGCATCGTTCTGTCTTTCTGGACGTCTAGCAAATCACATGTGATTTGTCCTTTCTCGCACTTTTTGTAAGTTCACGGTGTTTCCGTTTGATCCTCCCTTTTCTCTCTATATATATTATATAGGGTTTGCTTCCCATGAGAAATACCCGTTTTCGTAAGAATTATGAGAAATGTAAACGGTTACAATAGTGTAATGTAAACTTCATGTCAAATCTGTAAATATAACCTTATATTGTGTGAAGCCATGCCTAACTTTTCAATACACATTTCAGGTCCATGCTAATGGTTACCACCTTCACAATATACAACATTCACTATATTTCTCACGTGATCTGAACCTACATATATACATATGTATATATATATATATATATATATATGTATGTATAGGCATAATCAAATGAGAACCCATATATTGTTAGAACTTTTAACCTTAAGGTATTTTTTGACGTGATTTTTGTTCCATCAAAGGCTAGTATTTAAGGTATTGGTTTACATGTATTTGCTTCTCTCTCTGTATATAGAATTGATGTTCTGTGTCTAGCGGATGTGGGACTTTGGACTGTTAATTATGTTTCTAAACAATAGTCTTGACGTAAAATAACATCTGTGTTGTTACAGACGTTGGTTCCAGGCAAAACACCAGAGGCATTACGTCGTTATAGAGAGGAAGAGTTGGAGGAACTAAGAGGAAATGGAACGGGAAAGCGTGAAGAATGGGACAGGGTCTACGACTATGATCTCTACAATGATTTGAGCGAACCAGATGCGGGATCCGAACTTATCCGTCCTATTTTTGGAGGGTCTCAGGAGTACCCTTATCCTCGCAGGTGTAGAACTGGCCGACCTCCATCCAAGACAGGTTCGAACCTTAACACTAGTAACTCATAAATGGTACAGTTTGAGTTTTAAGGTCAAGCAAGGTTGCATCTTATGTCAAAATTTCTTGTGAATTATATAAATTTTGGTACTACATTTGTTACATTCACTTCATTTTTTAGTACTGAAATATGATAGGTTTGACCTTGAAAGTGAATAGATATCAGAATATAAGTTTCTTGAGTTGCTAGTTGAATTTTTGTGAGCTGTTTACAGATCCCAACACCGAAAGCAGGATCCCGATTTTGAAGAGTTTAACAATTTATGTTCCAAGGGACGAAAGATTCAGTCAGTTGAAGACGAGCGATGTTTATGCTTACGGGATAAAACTGGTATCACAGGGCTTACTACCTGGTTTTGGGGCAGTATTCGACAAAGTTTCAGACGAGATAGTTGGCACATTCGAACATCTTCTAAAACACAAGTTTGAGGCTGTATCGAGCAACAATTTCAATGAGTTCTCATCATTTGAAGATGTACTCAAGCTCTATAAAGGAGCCCTGAAGATACCGAAATCCAATTTGCTAGAAAGCGTCAGGGAGAAAATTCCCTTGGAGTTCTTTAGGGAACTTCTCCGTTCTGATGGCGAGCCTTTGGCAAAATTCCCAACCCCACAAGTAATCGAAGGTACTTTAATGAAGCTTCACTTGAAATGATAACGAACTCTTTGTGGTAGGGATCAGATCTGCCCGTAAATCTTGCCTTCAGATCCCATATTCCGGGATGGTTTGGTTGGTTTAACTGATAACGAACTCTTTCGGGTAGAGATCATGCATGTGTTCATCTTACCCTCAGATCCCACCTCTGGGTGGAATACACCGGGTCCGTTTGGTTTGTTTTAACTATAACGATCTCTCTGGGTGGAGCTCAGATCTTACTCTCAAAATCCGACCATTAGGTGGGATATAATGTGTTCGTGTGGTTTGGTTTAACCGATAACGAATGCTATTCCAATTCTCTTTATATTCATCAGTTGGTTAATGGTTCAAACAGCGGATACATCTGCGTGGATGACAGATGAAGAATTTGCAAGACAAATGCTTGCAGGAATTAACCCTGTTGTGATCCGACGCCTCCAAGTAAATTTTAATCTTCTCGTGGACATTATATTGTGTTCATAAATTCGATCTGTTGCTTACGATTTTGCTACTTGCAGGAGTTCCCTCCAACTAGCAAGTTAGATCCGAAAATATTCGGCAACCAAAACAGCACGATTAGGGAGGACCACATAGAATATCAAATGGATGGACTTAGCGTATCGGAGGTAATCATTATAGATTGGATATTATTTTTTGAGCTTATGGAAAAAGAAAAAAATCCTGTTTGATAAGCCATAAGCTAGTTTATAAGCCAACTTTTTGAAAAGTTGCCTTAATGAGCTCCAAGGCTTTTCTTTTTCTTTTTCCAATTATACATTCTATGTAAATGACAAAAAAGGGGATCTTTTAGGTTGTTTTACATTGTTATCCAGCTCATCGGCTAATTTTTATCAAACATTAGTAGCTATTCAGCCAACAACTAGCTTATTGCCGGTATCTAATTTATCAACCAAGAGTTAGAGCCTTGTTTGTTAGCAGCTTAATGAGTCACAGCTTATTCAGTCAGCGTAGTGGCTTAATGATATAGGAAGTGGCTTATTTGGTAAGCTTCTTGGGGGAGTTTTATGCAGAAAGTCAAGTTTTTTTCAAACCTACCCCTCCGAATTAAAAAACACGTCCTTTCCATCTATGAGAAAATCTCCCAAACAAAAACTTTTCTAATCTATATAGACAGATTAATCCACACCAACAACTTTATCCAAACAGGACTTGATGGAAAATCAACCAACGCACTCCTTAGTTTGCCAAACGTAGGCTAAGTTGTTTGTTTTGAAATAAGAAATTTATGCATATATCGTTGGTTTCAGGCAATCAAGTGCAACAAGCTGTTTATATTAGATCACCATGATCCACTGATGCCATTTCTGAGGGGCATAAACGAAACTTCCACCAATACATACGCCACTCGGACCATTCTGTTCTTGCAAAATGATGGTACATTGAAGCCACTGGCCATCGAATTGAGCGTGCCACATCCGGATGGTGACCATGCCGGAGTTATCAGTACAGTACACACACCAGCATTCGAAGGGGCAAAAGGGACCATTTGGCTGCTAGCAAAAACTTACGTTAATGTAAATGACTCGGGCTACCATCAACTCGTTTGCCATTGGTAAGAAATTTTTCTAAAAGTGAATTTAAGCCGAAAGAAATCAGATGAAACGAGTTCTAATTGAGTTATAACACAGGCTGCATACTCATGCTTCAATTGAACCATTCATAATCGCAACAAATAGGCAACTAAGCATCATTCATCCGGTTCATAAGCTTTTGCATCCTCATTTTCGTGACACGATGAACATCAATGCTTTATCCCGTCAAACACTAATCAATGCTGGCGGGCTTCTTGAGAAAACGGTTTTTCCCGATAAATACGCGTTGAAATTGTCGTGTAATATGTACAAGGAGTGGGCATTCCCAGAACAGGCACTTCCTGCTGATTTAATCAAGAGGTATAGTTGTACTTGCTTTACTGTCTGTAAGGAATATACTGGATTTGTTTGGTTTGGTTTTAATTTGAAGCGATGGTTTTCTTTTTCAGAGGTTTGGCGGTGAAGGACTCACGCTCTCCACATGGCATTCGTCTCCTTATCGAAGACTACCCTTTTGCCATTGACGGGCTTGAGGTATGGTCCGCAATAGAATCATGGGTGAAGGACTACGTTTGTATCTATTACAAGAATGATGAAGAGATACAGAATGATTATGAACTCAGAGAGTGGTGGCTTGAGGTTCGAACCATGGGCCATGGTGATAAGAAGGACGAACCATGGTGGCCTAAGATGCAGACTCGTGATGAACTCATTGAATCTTGCACCATCATCATATGGGTGGCTTCTGCACTCCATGCAGCCGTGAATTTCGGACAGTATCCTTATGGTGGCTACCTTCCGAACCGACCGGCCATGAGCCGTAGGCTCATACCTGAACCGGGAAGTGATGATTACGATGAGCTCGAGACGAACCCTGAAAAAGCTTTCCTCAAAACCGTCACCCCCCAGCTGCAAAGCATTCTCGGGATTTCGCTGATCGAGGTATTGTCTCGGCATTCGGCCGACGAGGTGTTTCTTGGAGATAGAGATACACCCGAGTGGACCACCGACGACGAGGCGTTGGAAGCGTTTGGAAATTTTGGGGCAAATTTGAGAAAGATTGAGGGAAAGATTGTGGAGATGAATCAGGATGTGAGGTTGAGGAACAGGAATGGACCTGCTAAAGTGCCCTACACTTTGCTGTATCCGAGCAGCGATATCGGTCTTACGGGTCGCGGTATTCCAAACAGTGTCTCGATATGAAGCATTTTTCGGTCGGTTTTCCGTCGATCTATCATATTCCATTTGATATCGTATTCTTATGTGGTTGTGTGCATGTTCATATCCTTTTCGTCTCGTGCTTTTTCGGGGAAAAAACCGATGAAGCGTAGTGTAATAGGTAGTTTATTACGGTAATGATCGGTAATAAGTTCGATTTCCACATTTGTATGTTTAGTTGGTAGTTTATTATAATAAGGCATTCGATATTTATGCATTGTTAAGTGAATTATCAAAGATAATAAAAGAAAAACGGACTTCATTCATAGAATTCTTTTCTTGTGGGATCATTTTTCCGCAAGAAGTAATGTGAACAATACTAGAATGGATTGCTAATTATGTCTAGATCGCCGATAAATGGAAATTTTATTGATAAAGCCTTTTCAATTGTAGCCAATATCTTATTACGAATAATTTCGACAACTTCAGGAGAACACTGTTACTTTTCGATGAACATACCGTGTATCGTGTCCCTTGTTAGGCCTTTTATCTGAAACCATTCAGTTCTGGTAAACCGGTTTCGCAAATGGTTCTAATTGGTTTATTTCGAAATTAGTTTTTTTTTTCCTGTTTTGGTATAAGCTCGAACACAAGAATATGCAATGACATGCTAATCGAGACACTAGATTTAATTCCGTTGCAATATTACTGCGATAGCGTAAAACTTCTGAAAAGTTCAAGAAAAAACTTTTTATGTGATTTTGACACTGGATATTCCTTAAATAGGTATTGTCGGGTTGGATTAATCTAATAATATCTGTTAGCATTCTAGCTTTCAGGGTTTTTTTTCTCTTTTGTTTGTATGCGATTTGATCATGTGACCTAATTGCGTACAATCTAAGGTGGTGTGCCAAGGTCACCAGGTGTCAATTTTTGATTATGTTCGATCCAGCTTCTTGACATCTTGTGTCGCAAACAAAAATGGCAACGTCACATAAATTATACCGAGGCCCTCATCATCTTCATGTGACATTGCTACACAATTTAGCTTGGCTGCATACTCCTTTACCATCGTCATGAAACTTGTATCGAATGACTGAATAGGTTTCATGCGACCTAGGGCACTCAATGGTTAGATGTACACCCTCAAAACCAAAGTCGCAACAGTTGTAATACGCATATTCATTGGTTGACATCCATGGAATGTGAGGGGAACCGAACCGATCCAATCATCCATTGGATGTTGGATTTTTGCGAGTTGATCCAATCCGGTTAACATCAGACAACCGATTCCATCCAATCCAATGGGTGATTGAATCGGTTTGCTTTCATCCAGTGGATATTTTTATTGGATATCCATTGGATCAGATCAAATTCGATCCATTTGACATCCAATGGGTGACCAGATCGGATATCGATCCATTCAGTTTGTTAATTTAATCCAATTTTTTACAATGAAACAAATTTATTAATCACTTTTAATATGTGTTAAAACAAACACAAATGAGACTAAAAATTCAAAAACAAACACAAAACAAATTTAGATTTAAACAAATTAAAAACAAATTAATTCGATGATAGTTGGATGAATAACTAGATAGTAATCATATGATTAATTGGATGTTGGTCCATTCGGTTCGGTCAGTTCTGGACTGCCATCCAATAACCAACAATCCAAATTGAATGTTGTCATTTTTCGATGTGATCCAATCCAATTATGGCCGGTCGGTTCTAATTGGATCTGTAGGTTCCAATTGGATCGTCTGACTTTCTGCAGACCTCTAATTTGTACCGTAGAAATATGGTCTGAACTCAAACGTACTACGTAACGTGACCACACGTCTTCCTTTTTAGTAATTGTGTGTGTTTGAACCGGTTTGCACACACCTCAACTAATCTCATGGAGCCTTGAGAACAGCTAAGATATATCCTAGTGAATTTGAAAGGACTCGAACTTGATTTACCTTTGAAATGAAGCCCCAAAGTCCCAAATCTTATTGCCACTAGACTAACTTTCGAAAACTCGTTCACTTTTTATTCTGAGCTAATCCTAATAGCTAGGTTTTTTCATCCTTTTAATAATTGTATTTTGTCCTTATGCGAATTGATGTAAGAGGCATATAACAATTTTTTTGTGATTTTAGTGTCATCAATCATTTAGTGTAATTGTGATTTACGTGAGATTGATTAAGTGAAAAGGAAAACATAAGTTTCGGGATGATGTGGACGAATTTCAAAAGGTTGGAAACCTTCTTGAAATTGTTCCTGAAGTCGATATAAAATTGACCAAGTCTGAATTCTAGTCTAGAGAATCAAAGTTTTAGACTTGGTACAATCAGAGTTCCGGACTACAGAATTAGAGTTTTGGACTTGGTACAGTCATAGTTTTGGATTGTATAATTAGAGTTTGGACCAAAGAGCAATCATAGTTCTTGACGTTTATTATGATTATAATATAATTGTAATTGCTCTTGCTCTCAAATCTTATCCATTAACAGTTTTAAACTTCTGTAACCATCGATCTCTTATATAAATATGTAAACAAGAATCAAGGTGTATATAAGAACTCAATCTTTCAACATTTTAAGATAAGAGTTCCTTTTGGATTATCCGAATATGAAATTCGTGATACCCAAGGATATCAGAGACAAATTATTGTATTTGGAAAGTAAACTTTCACGATCCAACGAAATTATCCGGTAATCGAATGATCTCCAAATCCCTAATCCTAACATTCAAATACAATAGTTTATATTTTCACCAATTATGGCAAATCAGGAAGAATCTGTTCAAGACATGACTTTGAAATTTGGAAAAATGAAAAAGTTTCAAGGAAACGATTTTCATCGATGGAAAAAGAAGATGCACTTCTTTCTCACCACTCTGAAGTTTGTGTATGATCGAGATCTTTGGGGACGAGATGTTGGAGATGGTGAGACATCCAAATCTTAGTAACTTGTTAGGATTAAAGCTTCAGGTGTTGGTCAATCATCGGATCCATAACTTGGATAAATTGTGAGATCAAATATTTTTTTTTTGATCATTCTCCATCCGATTTGGAGAATCCGATTGACCTATCCTTTAAGATAATTCTATCTTGAGTTTCAGGAACCCAATGTATAGCTTATATTTTGGAATAGGAAAAGATAGGATTTTACTTGTAAAAGTCTTGTAATTATCTTTATTTATTCAAGAACGAAAAGCCATCGAAAAAAATCAAAGACTAGTTGAAGATCGTCACCAAAGCGGACTGGTTTGTCAAATATCCAAAAAGAAGATCAATACAATATAAGGGGCACGTTCAAATGAAAACCGTGCATTTTTAAGAAACCGTGTAAAGTGTAAACCAATTTCGACTAATAAGAAAATTCCTTTTTTTCTAATTAAATTTAATCAATAAGGGTATTTCGATCATTTACAATATTTTCTATTAAATATGGAAGTTATTAATAAATCTTAATTAAGGAAACGTAATAAAGAAAATTGTATAAATGGTAACATTTAAATATTTAATTACATTAAAATATTAAAAATTTGGATTTCATATATTGTCTTGATGAAACAATTAAATTATAGAATGAAATCATCAAAACGTAGATGAACAAAAAAAATCCACAAAATGAAACAAGTTTCATGAACGTGAAACCGGTTCATGTTGCAAAGAAATTAGGTGAACTGAAACATTTTTATGGTGAACCCGTTGCATTTATGGTGTAGTTAATCCTTTTTTTTATGAGAAACAAAATGAAATCGATGCATTTTGAAAAAAAAATATGAAAAGGAAAATGAAACAGGTTTCATGAACGTGAAACCGGTTCATGTTGCAAATAAATTAGGTGAACCAAAACATTTTTATGGTTAAACCGTTGCATTGATGGTGTAGTTGATCCATTTTGTTGATGAAAAGGAAAATAAAACCGGTGCATTTTGAAAATAAATTATGAAAAGAAAAATGAAACAGGTTTCATGAACGTGAAACCGGGTCTTGTTGCAAATAAATTATGTGAACCGAAACATTTTCATGGTGAAACCAATTTCGTTCATATAATGTAATTCAAAATTTAAAACGATTCACTTCTCTATACCAATAGAAATCAATCTAATACCATAGTTCATAGATTCCTATATAATTAATGATTAAAGGCAAAATAGTAAGATTATGTCTTGTATTACTTTAGTACATTTAAATGAGAGTTACATTACTCCTTGAATTTAGCCATTTTGAAATTATCAATGTKTTTTAAGTTATATTGTTTGTGATTGTTYATAAACGAATGTATTTTGAGAGATAATCAATAAAATTTCAACAATTAACATTCTTAATCGAAYGAGTTCGTTGTGGCTAGCGTATCGTATAATATGGATGATCAATATGAACATAGTAGCAGTCAACATGAATGAGGGTGCACTCAATATTTAATGATGAACACTGTTCACACTGACACCTTGTTTATTGGTGAACATTGTTCAACAGTCACACATTCATGTATGTGTTCACTAATGAACATTTTCATATAAGTTATATTTTCATTGGTGAACAATRTTCATAAGCTACTCATATATAACAATTGTTCATTAATTCACACCATTCATAAGTTACACATTACATATTACACATTACACGTAGATCGTCTAACGAAATATGCGCACTTTCTACCGATTAAAAAAAATTATTGCAAAGATTTACATCGAGGAAATAGTGACTCGTCAAGGTGTTCCCTTATCAATTGTTTCAGATAGGGACAACCGATTTACCTCAAAGTTTTGGGAGAGCTTTCAGAGAGCCATGGGATCTTAGATACGGCTAAGTACGGCGTATCACCCTCAGACTGATGGGTAGAGTGAAAGAACAATGCAGACCCTCGAAGATATGTTAAGAGCTTGTATCATCGACTTTGGGGGAACATGGAAAAATCATGTTCCTTTTATTGAATTTACTTACAATAATAGTTATCATTCCAACATCCAAGTGACATTGTATGAGGTTTTGTATGGCAGAAAGTGTAGAACGTCGTTGCATTGGAATGAGGTGAGGGAAAACAGTTGACTGGTCCAAAGATTGTTCAGATAACAACTGAAAAGATAGATCAAATCCGAGAAAAAACAAAGACAGCTCAGGACAAACAAAAGAGTTATGCCGACAGACGCCGAAAACTGATTAAGTTTATAGTAGGAGATTTTGTGATGCTGAAAGTTTCTCCGTGAAAAGATATTGTACGATTTAGGAAAAAAGATAAGCTATGTCCAAGGTACATTGGGCCGTTCAGAATCTGTAAAAGGGTTGGTACAATAGCGTAACAATTAGAGTTGCCTAAAGAACTCGACACTATTCACGACACTTTCCATGTTTCATACTTGCGAAAATGTTTGGCTGATCCAAATATGGACGTACTACTACATGAGATTCATAATGATAACAATTTGAACTTCGTGGAAACCTCAAAGGCTATCACTGACCGGAAGATAAAGGTATTGAGGAATAAAGAAATCAGTCTGGTGAAAGTACACTGGTGCTTTCATAAGGGCCAAGAAGCTACTTGGGAACTAGACTGAGATGAGAGCTAAATATCCTCAAGTGTTTGATTGAATGAATTTCGGGACAAAATTCTTTTAAAGGGAGGATAATGTGATAACCAGATTTATCGGTTATAAAGTTCAGGGTTGTTTTTTATTAAAGGCAGAAGGTTGAGGGGTTTAATTTGATAATATCCTTAATATGTTTATAAATCACCACCGCCTTATATATTGTTTATGCATGTTATTAGATGAGATATTTTGTTTATCTCATTGGAATGGTAAAAAAAATTTGGTAAGAAAACTTATGTGTATGTGTTCTTTGAGCCGATGAAACAGAAACCGCAGAAGGAAAAGAAGAAGAAGTCTTTGTGATTAAAACCTGTTAATTGATTATTGTTTCAGTCTTCTTTTCTGTGTTCTATAAGGTGAGTTTTTATTTTAAATTATCATTTGATAGTGATAAAACAGAACCGTATGGTTTTTTTATGTAGGGAGCTTGAAAACTGTTACTATGTTATTTTTAACATAATTTTGTATTTTGATATGCTAATATCAAATGATTGGAATAAGGTTGGTGTGATAACCAGATCTTGGTTGTCACCTGAGGTAATAAATACGTGATTATTTGTTATATTTAATTATGCTAGTATACGAAATTCTATGCATAACTAAGTGTGCATTAAATATGTGGATATAAGTACATGCATAATGAGGTACATGTATAGGTATATTTTTGTATGAATGTATATACAAGAGTTGTATATATATATATATATATGTGTGTGTGTGTGTGTGTGTGTGCATGGTGTGTGAGTATGAATGCATGTCATGTGTATGCATGATTGTGTATACGTGGGAAGGGGGCTATTTAGCCGACCTTCMTGTTTTAGAAAAATATATAAAGGGAGTGAAGTCTCCATATTTTCTCTTCTTGCTATTTTGAGAAGATTTGAGCGATTTAAAAGAGAGAGAGAGGTTGATCGGATTATTTTGGAAACAAGGAGTGGATTCAAGYTGATTTCTAAAAAGTATTTCAAGGTGAGTGATTTGMATGTTTTTAATTCCTTTGAATTGTATAAAATTGTTGTATAAACTTATCACCCGGATTAAAATTTAACCAAAGGAAGTATTATCCGGATTGTGAATAAACCGGTCAATTGRTGAGCGATTTAAGTGTATAAGTCGGTCAAGTTATGAGCGGATTAGAGTTAAACGGCCCAAGGCGTGAACGGTGTAACCTTAAACCGGAAGAAGATTTAGCGGACTAAATCTAAACCGGATATGCCTTGACCAGTTTAAGGGTAAATCAGCTAATTGAATTAACCGGTTTAGGAGATAAGCGATTTATGACCTTTGACTTTATGTTTTAAACGGAGAAGTATGAATACGACCATGTGATGACCGGATTATTTTAAATCGGTCGATGGGGGCATAGTGTTGTCCGGATTTGTTGTCCGGACAAAAGTGTTAGAATCTTTTTCTAATGAAGTGTTAATTGATCCCCCATGCGTCAAACTATTCGACTTCCATGAAAATTTTCATGGGCATCTCGTCTCTTTTGGTGATGTTTCTAACTTTTTGATAGCAATCACATCGAGTTATGAACTCTCTCGTCTCATTAAACATTGACGACAAAAAAAAAAACCGATTGTAACATTTTGGCAACTGTTTTATCCATGTTGAAGTGACCCCCACACTCTTCAGTAGGTGGCCCTCCAAATTAGTTATGTTAAACCAGGTTAATCGTGCCAGATTTTATCTCGAATGTGTTGGCAGTTATGGTGGGTGCTTGTATGTCAATTTGATGTTTGCAGCGGTTGAATTAGCATAATACCTCATGGGAATACGTGGTTGAGGTGGTCGAGATGCGTGAACCTCGTCTTCAAGTCGTTCTTCTCCCATTTGTCTTAACTTTCTAGATTTGGACTATTTCCTCAATTTGTGTGCGGTCCTTTCAATCATTGCATCAAATGGCTCTAGATTTTTATTGCGAGAACTTCATAGCATAAACCACTAAATTCTATAATTCAGAAAGAGGAAATCCGAGAGTCAGAAAGTTAATAGAATAACTGAAAATCAAGCAAAATAAAATAAAATATCCAATGTAATAATATTTATAGCTAATAGTGTTACCAGTGCAAAATTAGTTCCATGGAAACGGCGCCAAAAACTTGATAGGCGGGTTTCATCCCTTAAATCTAATCGCAAGTGTACGGATCGAATCAAGTAATATGTACAGTGAGTACGGGTACCGAACCACAACTAGGTACTAAGTAACACGATGACTATAACTACTATTAATTGGACGATTTGAACTGGATGATTGGATTAATTAATTAACTGATTAATCAAACGAAAGGAAACCTTAAAAACCTGTAGGAGTGAAAGTTGGAAACGTTATAAGAAGACAAGCAGTTGGGAGTTAGGGTTTTAACGGATTTCAGACAAAACACTTCAATTGGATCATTGCTAGACAATTCAATTAATGAATACACAATCACTCAAGCTCATGTTACCCTCTCTCGAGTGATAATGGGGTTATTCCCAAAAAACAGTTATTTTATCTCTTGATTTCAACACCTGTAACTAGAAATTCTTTAGAAGCAATATTGTAAAACTGTACTAAGCCTTATTTGGTATATCTCTATCCAAGTTCTCACCTTAGGCATATAATTCCAATTCAAGTTGCAATTTATTTCTCTCGAATTCAACTTATGACGAACAAATCAATTGAAAGCTGATCAGACTCATAAAAGCATTAAACTTTAAATCATATTTCATTAAATAGAGAAGTTTAACAAAAATCAAAAGTTTATATGTTCATATGTTTGCAATCCAAAAATATCCGAACCCTTACCCTTACCCTCTAAAGGTTAGTTCATGTTGGGGGTATTATAGCGCAAAACAATAGAAGGAATCATGAATTTAAACAATGGTTTCTCGAGTAAAAATCTAAAATACGTAAGAATTCCCTTTAAATCGCAATACCCACGAATGATGGATTGATCGTTGTTAAAGAAATGCTTCACAACGATCTCGTTGCTTCAGTCCATTGTAATCTTGATGAAAAAGTCTCCCCAAAATTCCCTCTTGTCGCCCCTTTTTGAGATAAGATGCTGACTCCGTTTAACCTAACTATGATAATGATTTAAATCGACTCAGAGGTGTTCGCTAGTTTGGACACTAATTTAAACTAGCGAACAAACTAGCCCGAGAATTCCAAACTAACTTGACTCATCAAACTAGCTTGGAAAGTAGTCCTGGTTATTATTTTGACTTTTCACTTCTTGGATGGACTTTGAGTTATCCCTTCACCTCAACAATCCTTCACTTTGGTCTTTGATGTACAACGTACTCGATCCCGTCGTTATTTCTTCAGTTAAGGCCCAATTCCGTTAGATTTGCTTCGAATGAATTACACCTTCGATATTTGCAATAAACTGTGAAAGATACGCTTCTTTTACTTAGAACTCAAGCAAAATCTCATAGAAAGTGGTGCCAAAATAACACCAAAATTGGTGTTATCAAAAGCATAAGAAGGGATCTCAATCATTGGATGCACATTAGGATGAAATGCACCAGATCAATCCCGTATCAAACGCGATTCATAAATGGATTGATATTAACGGTGATCAATGGTCCAGATCCCTTCTTACTCTTCTTACTTTAACTCTACTTCTCACACGTATTCACCCGATATTGATGTCAATATTTGATTACCTTTTGTTCTATATAATGTAAATCCATTCTCCCCAATCTTTCCTATCTCCTTTATCCCACCGGTTATTTAAAGACGCGTCATTTGATATAAATTTATTTAGTAGACATAAAAGGGTTTGGGAATTTAGAACTACGTATTTTCATTGCATTTCATGGGGTATTGTCTTTGCTTTTCGTCAAACTTTCATTCCCTTTTGCCACATACAAAAGGAACAAAAAATCCAGATGACTAAAACGTTCTTCCTTGTTTCTTTTATGGACGAAAGAAACAAGGTGTTTGGTTTGCAGAATTGATTCCGACGGAATTGGAATTTGAAGAAATTGGAATGAAATTCAATGATATTTCACCATACGTTTAATCATCAAAAGAATTATGTTTGGTTGGCAGAATATAGTAATTGGAAATAACTAACAATAAACGACATTTTCATACTTTGTTGCTTAAATTATACATACTTATATAATGACAAAATTAATGATAATAACGGTAATGATGGTGTTGGCGGTGGCAGTGGGAGCGGTGGTGGTACCGCTCATGTATATAGTAGGATAGGGGTTTTTTTGGATAGTTTTGTCTTTTTGAAAAAAAAAACGGAATTTAACTCCATTACATATGCAACAGAATGAAGAAATCCGTGAACAGACATGGTCAGACCAAAAGAATTGTGTTGGACCACTTCTGCTTTGAGTAATTGCAGCTTCATATAGCAAAGCAAGCACATTAAAACACTTAAGATGCAAAGTGCATTGCATTTAGGGAAAGAGGAAATGGAGATTTGTGAACTGCATTTAAAGAACACTTGTTTCAGGAAAGTCAAAAGTGCATATATCATATATGTGCATCTATGTTCATTTCATGGAATCACCAACCTAAACTTGGTTCATGCCCGAGAACTCCCTTCGCCAAGGTTCAAGCCTGCACATCGCGATAGCACCTCCTACATATTTCAAAACCAAGTTGCAACCACATAAATAAAAAAATTAAGCTCAAATTTACACATCACAACAAACCGATTACAAATTATTTGCCCTTGTTTGATTGAAACGAAATGAATACAGCCTATGGCTCCAAGCCACATTTGACTTTTCAATGTCAATATGAGTTGCTCCCTCCATTCCAAAATAAATGTCCACGATAAAAAAAGACATGGAGTTTTGCAAATATGTAATTATTATAATTTTTTATTAACTAAATGATAAATTTACCCTTAATAATAGAGAAACTAATGAATTTCTCCATCTCATAAAGAATGGTAGAATCGGAAAGCAGGCACTTGCTTCTGAAAACTACAATAGAATTGCCAACACTTAGTTTGGAACGGAGGAAGTATCTTTTAGTTTTAAACAGAGAACACTTGCATTTCGTATGGAAAACTTCGACAGCTGTATCTAACTGTGAACAGAAGCATTTGGATACAATTGCAAAACTTTCCTTTTGTGGGATGTCCGCCATTCACGAGCTTAGGAGTAAGGACTTTGGCTCATGCTTGGGTTGGCAGATAGGGCTGTTGTCAACCATCGTTTTTCAGGTTCAGAAATTGAAAATGAAGAATTTTCTATCTATGGAAAGATATCAAGATAAAAATTACTTATTTGTCCGTTATCATTGCAAATACATTGATGCTGTTAACTAAGTTCACAAGATTCATTTACTTGTTAGTCAAAAAAGTTTAATTAAACAACGTTTGAGGCCAAACATTACATTTTTCATGGGAGGGAAGGAATATTTTAAGTTTGAAGTTAAAGAGCACTCTCTCATCCCTAAAAATGTAGACTATTGATAAAATGTCTACAATGCCCCTTTGCTAATGACAAAAAAATAAATAAGCTTGTTGACCAAATTCAATGCGAGAATATGAAGAACCCCATATGATTACTCTCCAAAAGAGCCCTTTAATTAGAGAAGAGGGGTTCAAATATACACTAAGGATAAAGGGTCTAAGTCTAGCCATTGCGGGACTCCAACACACGCCCTCCAATGGAGGCTAGATGGGCACAGATTGTCCCAAAGTGTTGAGAAGAGAAGGGATGTTCTATATGGAGGAAAAATGGTCGAAGTCTGGTACCACGCAAGAATCTGTGGAACCCCATCTGATTACTAACCAAAAGAGCCTTGAGAAGAGAAGGGATGTTCTATATGGAGGAAAAATGGTCGAGGTCTAACCGATTAGGGACTCCAACAATGAAAATTACTAATATTGAGTAATGAATACAAATGGGAAAAAAAGTAAAACTTGCAAAGAAATTACACATCTTTCGGCAACGCACAAAGGAAAGTGTCCCTTTCTTAGGGACAAGGGTAGGCATGGGAATTGACCCCAACCCGTCGGGGAACCCAATCCACCTGCCCCAGTCGGGGACGGGGATTCCCCGTTAAACCAGGTCTCGGGGACGGGGATACCCGTTTGGCTCAAACCGGGGATGGGGACGGGGACGGGGACGGGGACGGGTATCACACTCTCCGCCCCGCCCCGCACCCGTATATATATATATTAATTAATAAATTATATTATATATTATTTATTTCTATTAAATCGGTAAATGGTAATTTCTACTTCAATATAATTTGGATATTACTATATGTGGTTTTGGATATTACTCAATATGTTTTGGAACATGTGACGTTAATTTTTTTAGATTAAATTTATTTTTTTTGTTTTCGATTTATTAATTATTATATGATGATGTATATTTTTTATATTAAATTAAATTCCCATTTATTTTAGGTTTATTGGAAAAATGGTGAGATTTAAACATGTGTAGCGTCTCACACATTTGATTTAATTTTTTGTACACAAACAGGAAAAAAATCCCCGTTTCCCCGTTGGGGATCCCCGTTCCTCGTTGGGGACGGGGATGGGGATGTGATCAAATTCCCCGGTGGGGATGGGAACGGGGACAAAGATCAGGGACCGGGGACGGGGATTGGGGTCCCCGCCCCATTACCATCCCTAGACAAGGGAGTACTAGGTTTGAGTCACTTAATAAGCGCTTTTTCCTGACGAATGGAGTGAAAGGTACTTTGTCTAACCATTGAAGAGCCAATTATAGTGTTGGACCGAGATCACATTAAGATATTATACCCTAATGAAGAGCTATCCTGAAGTTAATAGAAGAATAGAACTTACCTGATATGAGACTGAGCCATCAACACACTCAGCTCTCTGTTTCTCCTGCACTTTGCTTGCAGTTTCACACAATAATTGCTCATGCACAACCTGAAAGATATTAAGATGCATTTTAAACATTTTAAGGTATAAAAAACTGGATTCTGTTGAACAATTGTTGTTGGCAAGAAAACATATGCAAATTCTATTAACTTCCAGTAGGAGCATAGATATGACTTGCAAGTTTCAACGTCATAAGTTACATTAAATTAACATGCTTATAAAACCTTTAAGATTTCTATTTCTTTCTTCTTCATCTTTTTTAAGGGGGGAGTGGGATCAACAGAAACAACTGGTGATGATCTGAACTATCAATACTCAGCCTGATCAAGTGATAACATTACCAGTAGCAACTTCTCCACTGAGGTTTGATGCAGGAATTGACTAGCTCTTTCTTTCTCCTGGCTCAAACAATATTCAGCCTAAAGCACACAAGAGATTAAAAAAAGTATATTTTGTAAGTAAATAGATATTCTGCACAAATGGCATTAATAATCTACTAAAGTGCATTTCCTGAACAGAATAAAACCTTAAAAATATAATCAGCTGATGAGTAATACATAAGCCACTCTGGAACCAAATGATTGTAGTACTTTGCAGTACTTATTATTACTGCCATCTCAAAGTTCTCGTAATAGCGCATCTCCCCCCTCCCAATTTCCACGAAGAAGGTTGAAACATTCTTTAGCAAATCCCTGCAAACAGAGTTGTCATCACGGTCCTGATTGATCTGTATGCAATATAAAGTCAGATCTCCCTCTAAGCAAGACAGATTAATATTGCCATTCATCATGGTTTTTCGAACATACTAGAGAAATTGCAGCTTCCAAAATCTTAGGATACAATTCACTGCACACCTGATACAGTTCAATGATGACACCTTTTTTCAGAAAACGAAATATAGCATTGTCAGGTAAATAACAAAACTCCACAATGGAAAAGCAATAAGTTTAATCTGAATATTTGTTTACCAGATCATGGAAGCAACAAATCGAGAGATCACTAAGAGAAACAACTTTCCTATCTTCCACAAAGTGACGATCAAGGTACAGGAAGAACCCTCCAAGACATTTTGCCATGACCTTGTATTTTGTCCACATGTTCCAAAGTTCATATAACAGATTTATATCTGTTTTATCCTTAAGAGCTGGCATCACCTGAGTTCATTGTGTTAGAGAATAATTAATTTTTATATTTAGAAAAAAAGTAGTAATCGATGTTATCTGAATAAAATGAAGAAATGCACTTATAAAGTTCATGAAATCCCATGCGCTTGGCTAAATCCAACCAAATAAGCTGGAAAACTACTTGACAACTTTTAAGAGTTAGCCACTTCAATAGCTGATTGTTCTAAACATGTAAAAGCCTATAAGCTGAAGTTCTAAACATGTCTCCTTTGCACACCACAGAAAGTTGAAGTTCTTACTATACAAAGAGCTTTTAACAGCTGACAGTTAAGTAGCTTCCTCTCACTGTGTATATGAACTGTCGACCCTCTATATCAGTTATGATCTTACACCACAACTTATGATCTAAACCAACCAAAAAACGTCTCGCGATGTCAGCTTGTCAGGTAACAAGTACTTCACCAAAATGTGCTTTGAGAAATCGTAACTACTTGGGCATTGCTTTCAACGACCCAAATATGGTGAAGTAGTACTGCAACTTGATCTATCTATGTTGAAGTGTCCGATGTTTCTTTATACATAAAAGTATGGACTAAAAGATTATAATGCATAGCAAACAAGACGAACCAGGTATACAAGTTGCAGAATCATTTAAGCCTCACCCTTGAAGTAATGCTCTCTTCCAGAGCTTTCTTGAATATTTCGTAGAGCTCTGCACAATACTCATAAGGGGGATGTTGAACACACATATCATACACGCAGCTAGCACGAGTAAAGGATATAAATACATCTGATATTGCTGAAGGTAAGTCATCAAGAAAGAAAAGTTGATTTCCTCGCGCTGCATTTCATTAGCCAAAAAAACAACTGGTAATGAGATAATCATACAAAATAAAAGGCGGTATTGGTTTCTAAAACCCCATGTAGGTCTGCTTACAAATCCACCTAAGGATTAAGTGTTCCCCCACTGCTTCAATACCTGTGCTTTAAGCCTCCATAACCACTTAAGTTAGCAACTAAGTCTTCAATTAAGCACTGTTAATTATTTTTAACTGGTTTTCACTGATCAAATTTTCTACTATTTAAAGTAGTCTCTTCCATCGGTTCAAGTAATGCCATCAATGGAATAAGGAAATTAGTCATGTAGAAAAGCAACTGTATCAAGATAACATAGTATTAAGAATATAATGCTCACATGTCTATATAATCTAAAAGTGATCATGTGTTATATGTTAAAAAAGAAATCACTTAGACGTTTGCTTAATCCTTGCTTAGGGTATTAAGCACTAGAAGGTCTCCCGATGGCATGACATAACAAAACCAAGTTATTGAATAGTTTTCACCAAGAAAAGTAGCTACATACACAAATTACAGTATCAGGCTGCTTGTTATGTTTCCCCCGAAGCTAGACTGCCAAGCTTCACACCACACCACCCAAGGGCCAATAAAGGGGAGTGATAGATACAAAGAATAACTAATATTTCAGCCAATCAAAAGACATTATAATCAAGGAGTCAGGACCATTTGACATCAAAAGGATACTCATAGAGTTTCATATATTCTTCACAAGTGAATAATGCACTGGTAGGGCATCCATCCAGTATCATCATCGCCTTTGTAGTTCCTTCTTTCAATATATTCAACCCTTCTTCCAGTGTCAATTTTTTCTTCATCTTATTTCCAGTTTTCCACCAGTGTTCCCTTAAATTCTGAAAGCATGAAATTTATTATCTAAACCTGATCAACAAACAGATCAAAAAAAAATATAAACAAGCCACTCTAACACCGCTATCAGTTTCAGAAGGCCTACAATTCCAAGAGTAACAGTAGGGTTGTTCTTACAACTGTCTTTTCTCTAGTTATACAACAGAAGTACTACTTTCAATAATGCTAAAAAATGCCACCCTACATGAAATGAAAAAACTTGGAGCAACTAAAGTGGCAGGTTTGAGTTCAAAACATAAAACCATCTAAACCATAAACATGCTCCTGGAATTTGGAATCTAACCCACCAGAGTTTGCTTGGTAGCTCCAGAAGATCAAAACCCCCTTAATCAGCAATAACACTACCAGCCAGCAGGCATACGTGTATCAGTTCATGTGTACGTGCTTATCATATTCAATATTTCTAGGGTTTTGGGAAATTCTCCATCAACATTCAGAAATTGGGTAAAAATCTACACAGCATACACACACACACACATAATTGTGGATGATGAGTAGCAATGAAAATTTAACAAATCAGTAATGCTAAAAGAAATTATAGGGTTTAGGATGGTTTACTTTCCGAAATGAGATTGAGAGTGATGGGGGGTTTTCTTTAGAAATTGAAAATCGCCCGAGAATGCGCCTCGACGATGACACCGGTGCGTGTCGGAGTGAAATGAAGTTGTCGACCACTACACCCATATACTTAGCGTTATTCGATTTTGGCTTTTTGCCATTTTCGAAGACCGAAACGCAGCGTTTTGGTACTTCTAATCTCCCTCCAAAACCTTCATCTGCATTCCAAACAAGAAATGTTTTCCTCTCTCTTCCTAAACTGAGTAATCAAAATTTTCTCTATGACTATAAATAGATAAATAAATAATATAGTAAATTGCTTTAAAAAATGTAATATATTTTTTTGGTATGATTTTTATTACATGTAATTGGTTTCAAAGCTTTTATACAAGTGTCTCAAATGTAGGGGTGTTTGCTATTGTTTATAAAAAAAACTTATTGATTTATTCAGGTATAACACCGGTAACAAAACACTTTTGAGTGTTTAGATAAACAACTTATACCGGTGCCAAACCGATAATAAGAAGTTTTTGAAGTAGTTAAACTTTCTGACTTATAATAAGTTGATAAGTGCTTTTGTAGAAAAACATAAGTTGTTTCAAATAAGCAATCTCAAACACTCCCGTAATGTTACAAGCATTTATATTGAAGTAAAATAGACGTTGCGTTAATGTAATCTCATATGTAAATCAAATACATAATTGTTTGAAATGTCACTTCTAAGTTAGCAAAATAAACGTCTTAAAAGTATATTATACAAGCAGACATCAACCCAAAATATGTTGTATTTTCATATTATTACCCTAAAATACTAATAACCCTAAGGGGCTGTTTGGTTCACGGATTTGGATGGAATTGAAAGGAATTGGAATGGCCAAATCCTTTGACCAAATTCCAAATACAATGTTTGGTTCGTGGAATAAAAATGATGGAATCTTTTCAATTCCAATAAATTCTTTCACTCACGGATTTTACATTCCACGACAATACCCTTGGATTTCAATTCCTTTCCGACAAATTCCTTCTATAATCCAAATTCATTCAACGTTGCGCCTACCATCTCATCTAATTGATCTCTGGTTCGATCTCCATCTTGTATGCTCTCGCTCTCTCTCTCTCCCTCTCTCTCTCTCTCTCTCTCTCGTAATTTCTCCATTTATACGAGATCGATAGACGACATATGTAATCAAGGAATCAATTCTAGATAACTAGCTATCGATATCACTAGTCCAATTCCGTTATTCAAAAATCATAAAAAGGTCATTTGTTGATATTAATTTCGATTCCAAAGTTGAATTCCGTGAACCAAACAAAAAAATTCCAATCCGTGAAGAATTTCATTCCAATTCCATGCAACCAAACGCAATCACAAGGCATGGTCAAATTTCATTATATTCCTTCAAAGTCAAATTCATTTGATGAATTCTAATTACATCGAATTTCATTCTACGAACCAAACGCCCCCTAAGATATGATGAGAATATGTAGGACTACTCTGTGAGTTTTTTTGTTATCCCACATAATATCATAGGAAAAAGGCTAGACATAAAACCAAAAGATAGTTATACCTAATATACATGAAGCAATCATATAAGAACTCCAAATTTTGAGGAGACCATTAGATCCCATATAAGGAGGTAATCAAATTTATTTCTTTAATTAATAATGAAGGGTTGAATTATTGATATGTTATTTTAGATGATAACTAAACTCCTAATTCAGTTACTCAGTTTTCTCCAATATTTGCTTGAATAGGCAAATCGGTGAGGGATCTGTAACTGTGTTGTTGAAAATTGTGATATGAAATAAAGGATATGAAAAATAATTTTTCTGAAGTTTTTACACAACCACGCCTTATATTCACTCACGGACATGCGTAGTCTTATTCGTGAAACATAAACATCTGGGTCTTCGGGCACGAGTGCACCTTATAATTAGGTCCGGCCGTGCATGATGATAAGTATGATTTTCCTAGCTTTTAGTATTGGGATCAAATTGAGATTCTATCTATGGATTAATATAAATAACCCTTTGAGTTCCATCATGGTATAGAACGAAAGAGCTTAGAAACTCTAGATTGAGTTGAGAAAATATATATATATAGAGAGAGAGAGATTATATTTAATTTAATGTCCGGTTTGTAATTTTCTTCGGTGTTTGAGTGTTCTTCATCAATAAAAGTTCACCCTCTTCCCTGTGGATGTACATCACCATACCGATGGTGAAACCACGTCAATATTTATGTTTTGTGTGTTTTAAAAGTTCTTTTGTTGATTGATTGTTGTGCTTTCGATCCTATTTTCTTTTTCGCATTAGTCGTTGGTTGGCATCATATATTTGACTGGTGTCAAATAAAGTCCATTACTTTATTTGCTTTTTCGGACCTTTATGGTGTCCAAAACCCCGACAAGTTGTATTAGAGCTTCGGTTTTGATAATTGACGTATGGTCATATTCAAGCACTATTTAGAGAATTACAAACCGAAAATGTGATGGATATTATTTCCAAAAAGGACAAAAACTCAGGCAAGTCTTAATTAAACATTTCTTCTGTTTATATTAAAGGTTCATACACAACCTACAAATCTACATTTCAGATTGAGAGGAGGAATGGAGACGGAGACTTTGGAAAGTGACAGTGGAAGATAAAAGCGGTATTTAGAAGAAATTGGGTGCATCGTGTTGTCTATGAATTAGACAAAATCACCCACTATATATTGGCAAAAAAGTTGGAAGATATGGAAGAATGACCTCTCACAACATTACAACTAGCAATGGGTGAGAAGGTGATTTCAGATATAAGCTCGGAGACAACTCGTCGAGGTACTTAGATCAAGCGAGAAGAGATCTACCTTACATAGCCTCTCACTAGTTATCATTCTACTTAGATCCTTCTTCACCTACAAGATGAAGAAAGGTAGACCAATCAAGTCTCATCTCAACATTGTTGATGATCTAAGTATGAAGATGGAATTTGTGGACTTATGCTCCCTCCTTGAAAGGTATAATATTTTTGCTAATTCTTTAATTTATGGTAGAGATACTATACCTATGATAGATGTGAAAGCGGGCCACTTAAGTAAGGATCTAAGGGATCAAATTTGAGGCTTGAATGTTGATAAAGATGATCGAAGCAACAATCATAGGTTATATGTAAGGAGATGACACAATGAATATCAAAAGAGAGATTAGTCAAAAGGCCGTTCAAGATCACGCAAGCCAGAATTTAGAGGCAAGTCCAATAAGGGTGGTATTTGCCACTATTGTCATCAATTCAGACATTGGATTATAGAATGTCCAAATCTCAAATCCAAGACCGATAAGGAAGGATCATCTTCGTCCATTGTCACAAATGATTCTAAATGATGCTCTAATTGCTTCAATCGAAAATGTGACTCACAGACTAATGGATCTTGGATTCAGGGGCTTCTTTCCAAATGACTCCACATAAGGAACTTTTCTCGTCACTTGTAAAAAAGGAAGCACTATCCTCATGGAAAACAATGCGGTGTGCAAATGGACATTGTTGCCATCTATATGAAGATGTTTAATGGCATTATTTGAACTATTTTAGGTGTAAGGTATGTTCCCTATATGACCAATCTCTCATCTCCCTTGGTCAATTGGCTAAGCTTGGGTGCAAGATTAGTATGCAAGGTGACTCCTTAAGGATTTCTCGTAGGACTCTTGTCCTAATCAAAGGAATGAAAGCTTCAAATACTCTCTTTTTCTGGATGAACAAACATTGGGTTCAAGTGGATGTGTAAGCAAAAACAATGCAAAGAAGGTAGATGTGTCTAAACTATGGCATCTAAGACTTGACAACACGTTGGAGAAAAACTTGGAAATCCTACATAAGTGGAGCCTTATCAAGGAAAAGGAATTTGGGATCCTAGATTTATGCAAGGAATGTATCCTTAGAAAGCGAACAAATGTCTATTTTGGTGTTCGTAAACACAATACAACATGATTTCTTCATTACATACACATAGTTGTTTGGGGACCGACTATCACTAAACCCCATAGTGGAGGTCAGTACTTCGTTTCTTTCATTAATGATTATTCTCATAAAGTTTTGGATTTTTATCATGAAACAAAATTTAGAAGTGTTTTGAGAAGTTTAAACTGTGGTTAGCCTTGGTGGAAACTTAAACCAGAAGAAAATTTGATGTGTTGATATCTACTCAGAGTAGATAATACAAAAGTGGTGAGTTTATCTCATTTTGCAAAGAAAAGGGGATGTACGAGATTAATCGTTGGTTTCCCTAAAGTTTTATGGGCTAAAGCTTTATTGATGGAAATTCATATAATTAATCGCCTTCCAACATTGGCGATTAATGGTAAAATTACCAAAGCGTTATGGAGAGGTAAGAAATAATTTTTTCTTAGTTATCTTCGAATTTTTGGTTGCTCGATGTATGTCCATAATACAAGAAAAAATAAACTTGACCTTTATGCCATACAAGCATGCTTGGATATACGAATGGAGTTAAGGGCCGTAGAATCTAGAATCCAGAGAAAACGAAGTTAATACATTCTAGTCACATATCATTCAATGAATCCACCCTAATGATCCCTAAGGAAGATACTCCATCAAACCTTGTTGAAGATGAAACAAGGAAGGAGCAAGAGGTTAATATACTACACCCCTTCAAGAACACCTTTAAAGACAAAGGTAAGAAGATTATTAAGTGTATGTCTTCTCTTTCTAATAAATGTGAAAACAAAATCAAAAGTTTGCATCAAGGTGGAGCACTTGACGATACGACAAATTGGCCTGTTTGGACTAGTAAGCGCACTATCAAACCTCTCAAATGATATGGGGATTAGATATATGCCAACATGAGTTTCAGGGATTAGTTGGACTATGCACTACATGTCGTGCAAGATGAGCCTTGTGACCTTGACGATGTGTTAAGTTTACTAAACAACACCAAATCGCTTAATGCACTGCAAGAAGAGATGTAGTCTTTGACAAAGAATCAAACTTGAATCTTGTTCCACTACCTAGGGAAATCGATCTATTGGATGTGAGTGGATGTTTGAGGTTAAGGATTA